ACATTTTGAAATGTATGGGTTGGACCAATCAAACGTGATTATTACTAATGGTGGCAATTCCTCGCATGGCAATAATGATGGAGAAAGCTCGCAGAATTCTACACGTCGAACGGCGTGACCCAAAACACCATTTTACACCACACCGTACTCATCCGTGAAAGTCAGTCGTTAGGTATTTATAATCGTGCCTTGCTAAAGTAACTAATGCCCGATGACAGTCGTGAAAGCGTTCGAAACATTATGTGCACACGGTGCAACCCAAGCACCCCTGTGAAGGGAGGGAAAATAGCTCAGTTGTAGAGCATCGGTTTCTTAACTCAAAAGTCGTCGGTTCGATCCCCGGCTTCCCAGCCGCAAGGATTTATCCGTCCCTCTGGGGAATCCGGATGGCAAGGGCTGCGTACGATGATGAGGACCGAACTTCGAAGAAGCTCGGTCGAAGCACGAGGTATGAAACGTTGAGCAAAGTAAAAACCGAAGATTACACACCGCGCAGGCGCGTTACAATTAACGAAGCACCACAACATGTGGTTCTAGTATCGGCCCTCGCGGAGAAATGTCTTAAAATGATAATCCAAACTCACTGTCAATTAACCAAGCATCCTTGTGGAACATGCTACAATACTGTGTCTTTGACATCACCGAAGCAATGTCTAAATGCGGTTATTTAGGACACCTCAGGATTCAAAAACGATGCCTCAACAGGAATTACCAGGTATGGCAATTCTCCGAAAAACAAAAAAAGTATATTGCAACCATTGGCATTCTACGTTAGTAACTACTGGTACCTGCAGCCAGGGATTCCTCTTGGCCTCTACTAGTACTTTGTGTTCGTCAGCCTTTTACTGGTATTTTCCCTCGTTGTCCAGCAACAGACTGACATGTCACCACATGTACCCATGTACTTTTGTGATGTCAACGACCCAGGGTAGAATGTTCCACGACGGGTTCTTGGTTTGCACCGTGTGGGCATAATGTTTCACGACTGTCATCGCCAATGTATTGGTTACAATACGTACACTTGTAACGGTACTATGTTTGTAGTAGTATAAACGTAAGCAAGGTACTGTACTGACTGGTACGTACTATAGTAA